AAGGCAGGAGAGACAGAAATTTGGGGTTATATTAAATTCCTCACTTATATAGAAAATGTGAGGCCAGCCTAGTCTACATGAGACCCTGTTTAAAAACCAAACAAAACACTGCTGATGGCTAGCTTGAAAAGTGGCCAAGGGAACTGGGTGTGGTGACACATACCTTGAATCCCAGTACTTGGGAGGCAGTGGCAGGCAGATCTCTATGAAATTGAAGCCAGCTTGGTCTACATAGCCATTTCCAAAGCCAAAGGGCTACAGGGAGACTTTGTCTAAAAAAAACAAAAAGAAGGAGGAGGAGGGGGGGGAAGAAGAAGAAGGAGGAGGAGGAGGAGGAGGAGGAGGAGGAAAGAGTGGCCAAGGGAAACCTGAGTCAGGGACTCTGGGCTGAATCTTCAGAGTTTGCGATATCTGAATGGAATGGGGGGACAAGGGCATCTTTGGGGCAGCATTACATCCTCCTTGCATTTTGGTTGCTTTCAGACAATTCTTTTCCATACTTTGGTGAGCTATTTACACCCATATCTACTTTAAGTACTTATATAGCACTTTCTACGTTCTAGATAATCATCTAAGGGATCAGTAAATACTAATTCTTTTAATCTTATAACAACATTGATGAGATTATTTTTCAAAAATACATTTTTTACTCTTTGAGAATTTCAAATATGCATATAACATATTTTGATCATATTCACCTCTACTCCCCTTTTCCAACTCCTCCCAGATCTGCCCCACACCCACCTTCCAAACTTCAAGTCCAAAAAGACTATTTTTATCCTCACTTAAAAATGAAGCAACAGAAACCCCAAGAGGCTCAGGACATCAGCCACGGCTGCAGAGCTGGAAATGGCACAGAGAATACAAGCCACATCATTTGCACCAAGCTGTCTATGCAGGAGATAAATAAGTTAATGGCAAAATAAAACACATGAGTCAAAAGCAACCATCTCTTACATTCTGGTTGCAGCGGCCCTCCCATCCTGAGGGTCTGGGGGAATTCAGCAGCAGTTTTTACGGGTATGAAAAGAAACAGCACAAAGCTTCTGATATTATTGAAATGGAGAGAGAACTGTAAAATGAACAACTTTCCTGCCTGGTGGGCCAGTGTTATTTAATGTCACAACTGGTAATTCCAAGCATCTCTGAGGGAAGCAATGTGTTGGTGATTTATTGTTTTGTATCGAGTGTCAGAGGTCATTTGCTTTCTCCTACTTCAACCTCACCCTCATCATCCAGCATGCTGCTGGTTTGCTGAAAAGACAGTATTTTTTGTTTGCGCAAGTTGGCATCTTAGCCCTGACCATGTGATCAGACAATCCCTCTAAGTCGAATCTAAATTAGCCAAGTTCCTATGGTTGAATGTTTCCAGTCAATACACAATCATCACTTAATATATGTCTAGGACAGTGGTTCTCACCATGTGGGCTCTGGAACAGCAAGAGCTTGTCACCTGAGAACTCGTTAAGAAATGCAAATTCACTCAGCCACCTTCCACCCACAGAAGCAGAAGCTGGCATGGGGCCCAGCAAACTGTGAGATTACAAGTCCTCCAATTTTGAGAAAGCTGGTTTTGAAAAGGTAACCAAATCTAATATACCACAAAAAAATTATATCTACTCTTTGTCTTGAGCTACATTTTTATTTTATTCTGTATATTTTATGTGTATAAGTATTCTGCCTGATGTATATAACTACACCCATGTCCTGCAATGCCTATGGAGACCAGAAGAAGGTGTCGAGTCCCCTAGAACTTGAGTTATGGAAAGTTGTTAGCTGTCATTTGGGTGCTGTGAACCAAACCTGGGTCGTCTGCAAGAGCAACCAATACTCTTAACTGCTACGCCATCTCTCCACCTCTAGAGGAAGATTTTCAAGATATCTGGAATCAACTATTGGCTTTAGATTGTCTGGGTGCAACTCAAGCCTAGACCTCTTCCTGCTGCAGCTGTTTGAGAGTGCCAGACAAGTAGGGTGAGTTACCAGGATCCTACCCACCACCCACTGGGTCACCATCCCCCCCTGCTTTGAGACCAGCCCCACCCCTGCTGCTCCAGGTCTCATACCTTCTCTGCTTAGCTAGTCAGAACCTACCCACATGATCCCCACCATCCGAACTGGGCCGAGGCCCCTCACCCTGCTGCAGACCTCTTGATTCACCAGCCTGAAACCATCTGGTCCCTCCAAATGAAAAATCAAGAGTGGGAGCCTGAGGGGCTGGAGATGGCTCAGCAGTTAAGAACACTAGTTGTTCTTGAAGAAGACCTGGATTCGAATTCCAGCACCCACATGGCAGCTAACAACTGTCCATACCTCCAGTTGCAGGGGATCCGACAGCCTCTTCTGTTCTCCGTGGGCATTGCATGACACGGGTGCACATACCTACATGCAGACAATACACGCATACACATAAAATAAAAATAAAATATTTTTTAAAAGTGAAAATCTGAAACAAGAACAATTAATTTACTGATCAGAAAGCAACCAATAAACATCAACAATAAAAACAGAACCAAACTTCAATCAACAAAAGCAGGCTAGAATTTAATATCATATATGCAACCAGTAAAAGACATCCATATGCCCAGCTCACTATGCAAAAACACAAATAATATGAAAAACCAAGATAAAATGTCCCCACCGAAACCCACCAGCCCTATAGTAGCGTTCTACAATGAGAACTAACCAGAGGAATTCCAAGACACAGCATTTGAAAGGACAATCATAAACATGACCAAAGACCTCAATGACTTTAAAGGACACACAAACAACTCGAACTCAAAACAGTTAGGGATAAACTCCGGGCTGAGGCTCAAGGTAAACAAATATATGGTAAATGGAAGACAATCCAGGATTTGAAAAGTGAATTCATGAAAGAGACAGAAATGTGGAAGAGAGCTCAAACTGAAATGAAGATGGAACTGAAAAACTCAGTAAACCTATTTGAAACAACAGGAAAAGAATCCCACCAGCAAAATGAAGCAAATAGAAGACAGGATACCAAGACTGAGTGATAAACTTGAAGAATCAGACTTCTCAAGAAAATATTATGAAAAAAAATTTTAACACAGGAATGGAATATGCAGGAAATGTAGGACACCATGGAAGACCAAATATGTGCGTCAGAGGCATAGTGTAAAGAAAAGAATCTCTGGTCAATGGCATTGGCCAAAACTTCAACAGGATTACAGAAGAAAACTTCTCTAAATTAAGGAAACACATACCCACACAGACACAAGCAGCACACAGAAAACTAAGTAGACAGTACCAGAACAGAAGCTCTCCACGGCATATCATAGTAAAAACATTAAGTGTCAGAAAAAGAGAGGGTAGTGAAAGCTGTAAGAGACAGACAGCAAATTACATATAAAGGAAAACCCATCAGAATTACAGCTGACTTTTCAATACAAACTAAAAAGGCCAGAAGGGCTTAGAGCAAAGTATTCCAGATCCTAAAAGATTATAGATGCCAAATCAGAATTCTTTACCCAGCGAAACTATCATAGTTGAAGAGGGAAGAAAAAAATCTTCCATGACACAAATAGGGTAAAAGAACTCATGTCAAGTCAGGTGTGGTGACGCACGCCTGTAGTCCCAGCACTTGGGAGGCAGAGGCAGGCGGATCTCTGTGAGTTCAAGGCCAGCCTGGTCTACACAGTGAGTTCCAGGACAGCTGGGGCTACAGGGAGACACTGCTTCAAAAAAGAAAAGAAAAAAAGAACTCATGTCCACAAAACCAGTCCATCGAGAATGCTCAAAGCAATACAAAAGGATTGAAGAAAGGAATGACTGTACCCGAGGCTACAGAAAGAAAATAAATGATGGTAGAATTAATTATGGAAACATAAACTAGGACAAGAACACAAACAGAAAATAAAATGACAGTAACCAATACACATCTTTCAATAATAATTTTAAATATCAATTGTCTTAACTCCCCAGTCAAAAAACACAGACTTGGTGAATGGATTAAGAAACAAAATCCATCTCTTTCCTGTTTATAAGAAACTCATCTTACCCCCAAGGATAGGCAACACCTTTTCTATCTCATCTGAATCTCTAACCCCACTTAACATCTCCCTGTTCTGCTCATTTATTTCCTTAGACCAAGTTAACTGATAGCAAGTGAGGACAAGATGCTGCACGGAGGCGACTTGGACTGGAGCGCGTCTGAAGGATGAGAGTTTTCCAAGTGGCTGGGAAGCTGATTATACGAACTTACAGCAATGGTGACAGCATGCACAAGACCCAGGCAAACTCAAACCAAACAAAAACCCAGCATAGAACTGGGTGAATGGACAAGGAGCCCCAACCTTAGCTGAGGAACTACTGGCAACTGATGACTACTCATAGAGGGAGAGTTGATTTCCTTTAAAGGAGTGATGCTAAATACATCAACTAGGCTTCAGTGGATGGACTCATGTTGGGACATGCTGTCCTGGCCTCCATCTGTACCTCCCCCGCAGTGACCTTTTGGGCCTCGTGGTTCCTCAGTCTCAGAATTGTTTACCAGCTCATTTTCAGAGGTATCAGGTCCTGAGAGCACCATGACCTGGCACTGACCCTGCGGTCATGCGACGGCTCCCCAGCCCCCGTTGGGTCAGCTGCCTTCTGGGCTAGGGTATAAAAGCAACCTGGGGCTAAGAAATAAAGGCTTCTTCTGCTACACTAAAAGCGTGATTGTCTTTTCAATCCTGACGTCCTCCGCTCAGAGATCAGCTTCGTGCGGCGCAGGCGTGGCAGACTCACACTTAGGAACATTTGGGGACACAGACATAGCTTGATAGGCCTTCACATATGTGGCATAGTGCATGAAATCTGGCTATTGAGGGTATGGAGGTGGAGGGGGATAAATATGATCACAATATATTACATGAAACTTTCAAAAATTAAATTAAAAACAGACAAAAATATTGACTTTATGGTTCACTGTCTATCTGACTTTAGGCGAGCTGTATAACCTCCGTAAAACTGCGTTTGTCTGCATTATAAGACCAGGGGTGCTAGCTTCGGCAGCATGTATACTGAAATTGGAACAATACAGAGACTAGCATGGCCCCTGCACAAGGATGACATGAAATTTGTGAAGCAGTCTATATTTTAAAATAATAATAATAATAATAACCTGAGGTCATTGTTGGAATTAAATGAAGCCATTTATGCAAAATAGTAACAGTACACGGAATGCGACCAGTGCTCGATACACCTGTTGCTGGTCTTGTCACTATCACCATTATTGGTGCCATAAAATTTGATAAAAACTATTTAAAACTATTTAATAAATATTTAACTGGCTTTTGATTGTCTATCAGTCATAGACAATTGGGAAAGTTAAGAGAGAAAAAAGGATTCTAACTCAGAAACTTGGTGGATATCCATCCAGGCCAGGGTTGTAGGCAGAATCCATCTTCTTCGGTATGTGGTTGCCGGCCCACATACTGACCTCAGTAGCCTATTGTTAGAACCTCTACAGCCCTCACTGTAAGATCCCTGGAATGTAGGGAGGGTCTTTTCAGACAGATTCTTCTCTAACCAAGGGAAGATCAGAAGAGTCTAAGCAGGGCAGAGTCCTTATGTGGCAAAGAGAGGAAGTTAGACAGGGCCAGGGTAAAGGCGGAGGGTGGGACCGTGCCTAGGGAGACTCAGGCCTGCTGCCCTCTCTGCCCTCTTTCTCAGGACACTCACCTTCTATACCACCATGGCCTTCTTCACGTACACTGCTCTCATGGCCCTGGACATACATCCTTCCTTTACTGTCCTACAAAACTGGAACTTTCCACTTTAATCTGCATCACAAAAGGAGAGAGATGAAGCAAAAGGAGGTATAAAATAATCAATGAAACAAACACAAAACCCAGAAATCCAGTGGCACTCACTGAGGACTTGGGTCTGTTCCTACCTGGCAGTTCCATATGGATCTGCCTATTCTTTTCGTTCATTAAGCTGCACCCACAGGGCTGTCCAGAGAGAAATGCCACCAGCCTGAGGAGTCTTGGTCGATGGTCAGGATCCCTTTCTACCTCATCTGAATCTCTAGCCCAACTTAACATCTCTCTGTTCTTCTGCTCACTTATTTCCTCAGACCAGGTCAACTGACAGCAAATGAGGTCAAGATGCTGAACAGAGGCGACTTGGACTGGAGCACGTCTGAAGGATGAGAGCAGACATTAGGTAGAGGATGTCAATTTACCACAACTGAGTACCTACTATGCACCAGGCACTACTCTGAGCATATCACATACATTACCCTCAATCAATGCTCACAACGAATTGCCTGGGCACTAATAAAATACATATTGGCACTGAGTCCTCACTATGAGTTAAGCACCAACCCAGAGAGGTGCCTCATATATCTCAATCAATTTAATCCTATTACAAATGAAGAATTGAGTCCAAGTTCACATAGAAATCAATGGCAAAACATGGAACTGAGCTGGGTACCCTGATCTGAAAATTCACCTTCCTAAGATTCATGCTTTTTCTTTGTAAAATATATTTTTATGGGCTGGAGATATGGCTCAGTAGTTAAGAGCACTGCTGCTCTTGCAGAGGACCCAGGTTCAGTTCCCGGCTCCCACAAGATGACTGACAACCATCCATTGCTCCAGTTCCAGGGATCTGACCATATTATACATACATACATGCAAGAAAAACACTCATACACATGAAATGAAAATGAATTTTAAAAATTTTGTGAAAAAATATGTATTTCTGATAATTTCATACCTCTGTACAGTGTATTTTGATCATGTTCACCCCCATTTGTCTCCTAACTTCTCAAACATCTAACCCCCCACTCCCCTAACTCTCCCAACTTTGTGTTCTCTTTTTTTTAATAGTCCTCTATTCCAATTTGTGCTGCCCATATACTCATGGATGTGGGGCCGTCTACTGGAGTATGGTCAGTGTATCAGGGAACACAGCCTTAAAGACAGCTGACTCCCCCTTCTCCAAAAGCCATCAACGTTAATAACTCCTCAGCTATGAGTAGGGGCTTATGATCCCCTCTCTGATCCATGCCTATTGACTGGCTTGTTCCTGTGCAGGGACCAGAGCTGCTGTGAGTTCTTAAGTTCAGTGGTCCTGTCATGTTCAGAAGACACTGTTCTTACTCAAGTCCTCTCTGACCTCCCCCTCTTACAACCTTGTCAACCCCCTCTTCTGAGATGGTCCCTGATTCTATTGGGAGAGTTGTGATACAGGTGTCCCGTCTATGGCTGAGCACTCCACTGACATTTATTCTCTGCATTTTGACCACTTGTGAGTTTCTCCATTAACTTCCACCAGTTGCACAAGGGAACTTCTAGGATGAGGTCTGGAAGCTGCACTAATTTATGGGTAAAGAGATACAAATTTAGAGGGCAGTTTGATACTATGTTCATTTAGCAAAAGAATAATGGTAGGTTCACTTCTGGGGCCTATATGCTCCCCAACTGTGGGTTCTTGGCCATATTTACCATACCAGGCATGCATTTCCTCCTGTGCAGTGCATCTTGAATCCAATCAGAAAGGAGCTGGTTACCCCCATAACATTTGTGCCATTGTTGCACCTGTGGGCATATCTTGTTACACCAGACTCATGCTTCTAGGAAGACAGTAGGTCAGAGGCCCAGAGGACAAACAGCTATTGAGGAAGAGCACAGGGAGGCCATTACATACTGAGAAAATGTTGTGGTTGCAGGTTCAAAAGATGACTGACTTTAGATGGTCAGCCCTGGGGCTCCAGGCAGGAGTAGAGGAAGAGATCATAAGCACAGGAGGAAGAAAGAACTAAGAATTGAGGAAGATGAGCTCCATTTCTGTAGTTACATCCAGAGTCTAAACTGTGAAGAATGGAATCTAAATCTAGTTATTTTAAAGAGATAAGCAATTCCTTGGATTAATTTTGTAAAAATTATTTAGAAAATAAAATCAAACAGGTAAAGAACCAGACTCCAAAAACACATAAAGTCCAAGCAATAGAAACGTCACTGTGGTTGCATCCAAGGAGAAATGTGAGCAGGATAGGCTCTCTGGACACATAACTGTCCCTGTTCTTAACTCTGAGGCCAGACTTGGCGTCACCTCTCAGTGTCCTTTCAGGACTGTGCCAAGCTCCCACAAGGGGCATCAGATTGGCTGAGTCTGCTGTGTCCCTTATTTTTGTGTAGCTGCAACCGAAACACCTGAGCAAACAGCTCAAAGAAGGTTTTTTTATTGGCTCACAGTTTCAGAGGGTTTAGTCCATCGTTGTCTGGCTCTGTGGCTGTGGGAACAGGTAGTGGAGGAGAGCTGTTCACTTCATGATGGACAGAGAGCAGAGAGAATTACAGGAAGGAGCCAGGGCAAGGTAAACCTCCAAAGACATGCTCAGTGGCCTACTTCCTCCAGCCGGGCCCCATCACCTACTTTTCAGTTCTCCCAATAATTGTATCACATGACACACCAATCCAGAGAATAATCCATTGATTAGGTCAGAGCCCTCAGACTCCCACTTGCCAAAAGTCCATCTGGCAACCAAGCTCCCAACACACAAGGTTATGAGAAACATTTCCTATTCAAATCATACCACTAGACCCCATTTAGCTGCTAGACCCTTAAGAAGAATCCTTGAAGCCACCAAGATTCATACAGTGTGGGATTCACCCATAACATCCAAAGCCTTGGTCAGCTGGCAGGGCTGACCTAAGTAAAGGTGCCCCTTTTTGCCAGGCTGACCAAGACCATAAGCATAAACAAGCCAGCACAGAGAATAGAAACAGCTGGTTAAGTGTCCAACAAAGAAACGCATTCATCTATGAGCTGAGTAGACACCTCATCAGTAAAGTGATTTTTATACAAGCATGTGGACCTGAGTTTAATCCCCAGAACCCAAGTAAAAAGCCAGACACAGTAGCACAGGCTTGTAATTCTGGTGCTGAAGCAATAGAGACAGGCACATCCCTGTGACTCACTATGGCCAACCTAACTGAACCAGTGCGCCCAAGGCCCCAGTGAGAGACTCAGTCTCAAAAAATGAAGTGAGTAGCTCCAGAGGAACAACACCAAAGGCTGAATCCTGATTTCTACATGCTTCTCATATACACATGCTCATACACATGTGTGGATGCCCCCCATACACACACATACAGAAATACATTCAAGTAAATATATACTCTAGCTTCAAAGATGTCTGTGCTCAAAGTCTACTTCATTGTGGGATAAGGCATTGTCAACAGCCGTGTAAAAATGTCTTTCTCATGAGAACCTTGTCACCCATACTATTCTGGTGACAAGGTCCTTATTACAAGTGATGCACCCATCACCTGTGAACCATGGCCAAAAAGGACAATCGAATACCTCCAGGCGCCCCCTATACACACACATACAGAAATACATTCAAGTAAATAAATATTCTAGCTTCAAAGATGTCTGTGCTCAAAGTCTACTTCATTGTGGGATAAAGCATTGTCAACAGCCGTGTAAAAATGTGACGCACCCATCACCTGTGAACCATGGCCAAAAAGGACAATCGAATACCTCCAGGGACAGCAGCCTGATGTCACCATGAGCACATGTTCTCTTAGTGAGAGACCTCAGAGGAGGGGTGGTGGGAAAGTGTGCTCCACAGGAGGGAAGTTACACCTACCTGCTGACTTCCTATCCATAGGAATCATTGTGATGGTGGAATTTGTTTTCCATCTGAGCAAAGGCTGGTCTCCCATCCAGATTGCCTTGCCCACACTGTGTTGACCTAAAGGCAGCCATGTGAACTCTCCTTTTCAGTGAGCCATGTTAGCAAGCTCCTGTAGGTCCTCTGCCATAGTGGGCCCATCTTCCTTATTTCCAGTTTGACCTTGAAGGGTCTAACTGTCTCACTGAACAGTACGTACTGGGCGGTTCAAGAATCTGGCAAATGGCGCGAAGGCAGAAACCAGCATGCTGTGGGGCCAGGACACGAGCCCAGCAGCTGACTGATGGTGGCAACAGAGAGAAACTTTAAATGGAGAAATTTAACTTCAAAGGCAAAGCCTCCAGCAAAAATCATGAACTCCATAATTTGATTGAATCGTCTGCATTTGAATAGCTCTGCTTGGGCAACACACTTAAACATTTACAAAATTAATGTTTAACTATTGTGGAAG